GGTAACCAAAAAGTTTAATGTATGTCCAGGTGGTCAGGAAAATTCCTAGTTGAGAGTATTCATTTAACAATATCTATTTTAAAAATACTGAACACCTTGAAGGCATTAAAACCTGTGCCCAGCTTTCTGAATACAAGGATGAGCAAAGCAAATCTGTCTTAGAATGAAGACACTAGAAGGGGAAGCAAGCTCTTTGTATAAGATATGGTTAATGTCATTGAAATAAACCCAGGGAATTATGGGAACACAAATGAAGACTCTTTTGATTAAACAATTATATGAGTTACATGCTATAAAATTAGCTAATATGTGTCATTTTCAGTGTACTTGTTAGTAATTCTTCTTTCATTCTCAATATTAACACAGAACAGGACAATAAACCAGATGATTAAACTATCTAAAACACTAGAGTGAGGATGATAGGGTGGGAAAGAGACTTAAGGAAGAAAGACTGTCTTGGACCACCCCATTGTGAGGTTACAAATGTGTTAATACAGTAGAGTGTTAGGATGCAGTGTGGGTCGCAGGCTCTTCTGACAAGAAATCATATATTTATTTGGTAGTGAGATCATAAAGTCCTTTGCAGGGAAGTTTGGACCCACACAAAAAATCTTGCATGTGATGAAAGCCTTTGAAAGCAAAGCTTCAGAGACCCAAAATACATTTTAGAAAAAGCACTGTGGCAAGTATTGAAAGGGTTTTTTTTTGTTGTTGTTGTTTGTTTGTTTGTTTTTGTTTTTGTTTTTGTTTTTTGTTTTTTGCACCCTGATAGGCCTCTCCACCAACGCAGGAATCCAAATCAGACCAAATTAGGAAAAGGTCCAGTTTAATGGGTAAAGCATTGCCAGGTTATTCCCTGGCCCTACAAAGAGGAAACGGGGAAAAGAGACCAGAAGAACCACATGTCTATTTTCTGGGAAGCAGCTTATATACCCTGTGGGAGTGGTCTTGAGCCTCTCTGGGGGAAAAGCTGTGTTTGGTGGGTTTTGAAGGGGCAGATTTGGGGAAAGAGATAGGGAGGGGAGTTGAGGTGGATTTTCCACCAGAATGTTCCAGGCTCTTTGGGTATAGGGATGCCAGGGTGCCAGGGGTTGAGGTGGAGCTCCCACCAAACAAGTATGGATTTAAGACAGAGACACCCATTCTGAGACCACAATAATTTTTAGGTGGTCTAACTAGAAATACATTTTATTAAGGCATTGGTGGCACATGCCTTTAATTCCAGCACTCAGGAGGCAGAGCCAGGTGGATCTCTGTGAGTTTGAGGCCAGCCTGGTCTACAGAGTGAGATCCAGGACAGGCACTAAAACTACACAGAGAAACCCTGTCTCGAAAAAACAAACAAACAAACAAAAAAACTTGTAGGGATTCACAGGCTTAGCAGATGAGGTGGAAAACAAAACTCAGAAAAAAGAGCAGATACTTTGCTGTAGTCACAAAGTCACATACAAAATGCAACTCCAGGGGTGGTCTAGTGCTGATGACATTCCCTCCCTCCCTCCCTCCCTCCCTCTCTCTCTCTCTTTCTTTCTTCCTTTCTTTCTTCCTTTAGTCAAAGTCTCTGTAGCTCATTAGCCTAGAACTGAATGGATAGACCAGGCTGGCCTGGAACTCAATGGATAGACCAGCCTGGCCTCATACTCAAGCTTACCCTCTTGCCTCAGCCTCCTCAGAGCTGGAATTGTGAGTGTGAACCAGCACACTATCCAGGACACTATTTACTACACTAATCACCAGAATCCATGACTTCCACTCTTGTCATACCAAGATTCTCTTTTTGGGGGGTGGGGTGGGGTGGAAGAGCAGGACAGAGGGGGATAGTAATAAAAGAGATCTCTTGATAGAGGGGGATATTAAAGGGTTAGGGAGAAATATGGTGCCAGCCTAACTCCCAGAAAACCACAAGGATGACCCCAGCTTATACTCCTAGCAATAGTGGAGAGGGCCCCTGAACTGTCCTTCCCCTGTGATCAGATTGGTGAACACCCTAATTGTCATCATAGAACCTTCATACAGTAACCGATGGAAGCAGTTACTGTAGAGGGTAGGGGGATTATATGGGCAAAGGGTGTCAAGATCATGATGGGGAAACCCACAGAGACAGCTGACCTGAGCTTGTGGGAGCTCATGGACTCTGGACAGACAGCTAGGGAGCCAGCATGGGACCAGCCTAGGCCCTCTGCATCTGGGTAACAGTTGTGTCGCTTCATCTTCTGTGGGGCCCCTAGCAGTGGGACCAGGACCTGTCCCTGATTCATGTGCTGGCTCTTAGGAACCTGTTCCCTGTAGTGAGATGCCTTGTTCAGCTTTGATACAGTGGGGAGGAGCTTGATCCTGCTGCAACTTGATATGCTTTGCTTTATGGATTCCCAAGGGAGACCTTACCCCATCTAGATGGAGAGGGAGAAGGAGTGGATGGTGGGGGTAGAAGGGAGGCAGGGGAGGGAACAAGAGGAGAGGAGGGAGGGGAAACTGTGGTTGGTATGTAAAATAAAATAAAGAAAACAATATTAAATTAATTTAATCAGGAAATAAGCCTTTTATCTATCAAAGAGAGAACAGAAATAAAGATGGGTGTGTAAGAAAATATGAGAAACTGAAAGTATCGTCATCAGGAGTTGGATTCCACATGGTCCAATAGGTGATTTTAAATGGTGATGATTGTCTTCCAGGTTACATCAGGAACCAGCAGGTGCACATTTACTATAGTGGCCAACACATAAAGAGCAGTATATTTACCATGTTGGTGGGAAAGCATTATGGAAACATGATGGATGACTATGATGTGTTCTTTAAAGTACCTGTGAGGCACAGTGCTTGGAAGGATGGACCTTGAGCCAGATTACAATTTCTCTGAATAAAAAGAAAATTGTATCTACTTTGTGCAGCAGCATGACTCAATGCCAAAGAAAATTGATATCAGATGAGTTAGAAACCAACCTGTTACATAAACCTGGTTTTGAACACAACTCAGGAACTTAGCTGAAAAATCTAAGCAAAGTATTTTGTGGTATTGTATTTCCCCAAATATTGTGCATGCTAATAAACTTATCTGGGGTCAGAGACAGAGCAGCCACAATATTAAACATAAAGGACAGGCAGTGGTAGCACATGCCTTTCATCCTAGCATTCCAGAGGCAGAAATCCATGTGTTCAAGGATATAGCCAAGCATGGTGACTCACGCCTTTAATCCCAGAAAACCAGCCTTTAATCCCAGGGAGTGGTGGTAGAAAGCAGAAAGGTATATAAGGCGTGAGGACCAGAAACTAGAAGCATTTGGCTGGTTAAGCATTTAGCCTGGTTAAGCATTCAGGCTTTTGAGCAGCAATTCAGTTGAGACCCATTCTGGATGAGGACTCAGAGGCCTCCAGTCTGAGGAAGCAAGATCAGCTGAGGATCTGGCGAGGTGAGGTAGCTGTGGCTTGTTCTGTCTCTCTGATCTACCAGCCTTGACCCCAATAACTGGTTTGATTTTATTAATAAGAACTTTTAACATTCATGCTACAGTATTCCATAATTTCTTCCCTGGAAATTATGATACAGCAAAACACAGTTCACTGACTAAGGAAATGTGAAGAATTAATTATATAGAATATACTTTGTTAACAATAAACTGTTCAAAAACCTCTGAAACAAGTATTGCTACTGTATTAGCCCAGGTTTTCAGAAAATAGAAATGATAGTATGCATAGACACACAGAGTAGTGGATTGTGGGGAGGGAGGGAGGGAGGGAGGAAGGGACGGGGGGGAGAGAGTAAGGGAGGGAGGGGAGACCTACTTAGATTTGGAATTATGCAAAAAGAGGAGCTATGATAGTCTGTTTCCATATAAACTTAGAGACTTTTTCCCCATTTTTGAGAAGGTTACTGGAATTTTTTATTAACCTGCTATCTTTGGTAGTAGGACCATTTTAACAATATTAGCTTTGCTAATACATAAACATAAGAATCATTTGTATTTTTGAGTGCCTTCTGAAATTTCTTTCTTCCTTTGTGTGCTCTGGATATCACTCTATATAAATAAAACACTGATTGGCCAGTGGTCAGGCAGGAAGTATAGGCAGGACAAGGAAAGAGGAGAATTCTGGGATGTAGAAGGCTGAAGGGGAGAGACCTGCCAGCCGCCGCCAGGACAAACAAGGTGTAAGGTACCAGTAAGCCACAAGCCACGTGGCAATTTATAGATTAATAGAAATGGGTTAATTTAAGATAAAAGAAATAGATAACAAGAAGCCTGCCACGGCCATACAGTTTATAAGTAATATAAGTGTCTGAGTGATTATTTTATACGTGGGTTGTGGGACTGCGGGGCTTGATGGGACCTGGAGAGAAGCTCTCCAGCTACAATACTGTACAGTTTTTATTGTAGAAATATTTAGCATCTTAAGTTAAGCTCATACTTAGGTTTGTTTTTTTTTCTTGAGGCTTTTAAAAATGGGGTTTATTCTCTGATTTCATTTTCAACAAGCAAGTCATTGTTCAGAAAGAGAAAAGCTGTTGACCTTTTTTTACAATGACTTTTGTATATTCCTAATTTGCTGAAATTTATCATCAGATCTAAAAGTCTCCTTGTGGGTTCTCTGAGTCCCCTAAGAAGAGGATCACATCATCCACATACAATGATAAGTTTATTCCTCCTTTTCCTACCTGTGTCACTCTATTGCTTTCTTTTGTTTTATTGCTGTAGGTAAGATTTCAAGCCCTGTATTAAATAGGATTGGTGATAGTGGATTCCCTAATGATTTTGCAGATTTGGAATGAACTGCTTTCACTTCTTCCTCATTCAGTATTATGTTGGCTGTAGGTCATGTGTGTGTGTGTGTGTGTGTGTGTGTGTGTGTGTGTGTGTGTGTGTGTGTATTTTCATATATTACATGTGTGTATTTCACATGTGTATACCATTATGTTGGGATGTAATCCTCCATTTCTTTTCATAAATGTTTGGTGAATTTTATTATTCTGCCCCAGTTGATGATTATGTGACTTTTTTTTTCTTCACATGTTCTACTTTACAGATACATGTGCACCAAAAAAGCAATCTTGGAGGTATTACAATATCTGACTTCAAGCTACACTAAAGAGAGCCATAGACACAGCAATAGTAAGTATTGTCACAAAACAGTATTATAAACTAAAGAAATAGAGAGAAGTTCCAGAAACTCATGTGTATACATCTGATTCTTGACAAAGCTGTCAAAAGCATTTACCAGACAAATAAAATCTCTTTATTAAGTAATCCTGGGGAAACTGGATATCCACATACAAGACTGAAAGTAGATCTTGACCTCTCAACCTGTACAAAAATCAATTCAAAATGAACCAAAGATCTGAAAATCTGAAACTATTCTATGAACATAGAGGAAATTCTTCAAGATGCAGGTATGGGCAATGACTATAAATAATACTAAATAGTCCTGTGAATAGCATCAAGAGTTATACAAATGAGATTGTATCAAACTTAAAAGTTTCTATATTCCTAAAGGGACATTGAGATTTCATCTCACTCAAGTCAAATAGGCTACTAGGGAAGAAAATAATAAATAACTACGTAAGGATGCAGGAGCAAAGAAATTCTGTATACTGATGGTGGGAATGTAACCACAAAGGAATTCAATACAGAAGTTCCTTAAAAAATTTAAAATAGAACTTCCATATGATCCAGATATACCAGTTTTGGGGTTAAGTATCTAAAAGAATCAAATCAGGCTACCATGGAGATGCCTATAAAAACCTATGTTTATTTGTTTATTAGTGCTTTATTCACTTAATTATGAAATCAACAGGTTTCTTTCAAAACATAACTAAATAAAGAAACTATCATACAAGCACACACATACATACACACATGGGTTTCTTTTAGTCATAAAATTGAATAGAACTATATAATTTATGGGAAAAATCTATAAAATTGAATTATGTCATTTTTGGTGAAATAAACCAGTTTCATGAATCATGAGGTTGGAACGTGAAATGTCCCTTATGGACTCATATGTTTGAACACGTGGTCTCCTACTGGTAATAGTGTTTGGAAAAACTGTAGAACCTTCACAAGAAGGAGAACTTCTTGGAGGCAGTGGGTTACTGGGGCCAGGCCTCGTGGTTTTATAGCCCAACCCCCCTTTCTGTTCAGTCCCTTATTGCTGACTGTAGATGCAATGGGACCAGTCACCTCCTATTCTTGCAGCCTGCTCTCACCACCATGAGGTACTGTGTCCCCTTTGATTATAAGCCAAAACTAAGCCTTCCATCCCATAAGTTGTTTCTTGTCAAAAATTAGTCACAGCAATCAGAAAATACTAGGACACATGTTTTCTCTCATGTGTGGAATCAAGAAAGAAGCACAAAGGATATGGAAGTAAAAGGAAGTCTTTTGGGGATGTTACCATGACATTCCTTACTTAGAACAGTTAAAACTTTTAACCAAAAGAAACAGAGTAAGCGTTTTCCTTGATTCTTCAAAGAAATCTGAGTTAAGATTTCAAGTCATTTAATTTAATCATGGGGATACAATGATAAAGCCGAATGATCATTAGTCTGTACTCCCTAAAGAGATAAATTCATGTAAGAACTGTCTGTTAAGAGCCTTTGCTCATACAGGGTTGCCTGGTCCAGCCTTTATATGAGGGGAGGTGCCTAGTCTGACTGCAACTTGATATGCCGTGTTTGACTAATATTCATGAGAGGTTTGCCTTTTTCTGAAGAGAAAGAGGGTGGATGGTTTGGGGGTGGGAGGAACAGAGGGGAGGTGGGGGAGGGGTTGAGAGGAGAGGAGGGAGGAAAAACTTCGATCCAGATGTAAAAAAAATTAAAAACATAACACACATCACACTACTAAAGAAAAAAAAGAACTATCTACTAACACTTTAAAGGAAAACTCAGGGGGACTAGAAGAAGAACCAGACATTCCTGTAGTTCTACTCTACCTGCCTCCCTCGCAGTTACATTCCAGACTAACAAGGAGAATTCTGACTGTGTAATGGAAGCATCAGAGGTTCCTCATCCCTGTCCTGACCTCTATCTTATCATCCTTGGTAGTGAAGCAAGCATAGGGACAGGATATGCCACAAACGACAGCCCTAGGGCAGGTTCTCAGCAAAGTTCAGTTTGAATCCATCAAGAATTTACACCACCTCTACATTTCCAACCCACAAGGAATATAAGGCTGAAACAGGAAGTTAAGATGATCAGGAGGAAACTGCAAAACCTGTGCTGCTCGATGCAGTAGCCACTAGCCACATGTGCTGACCACTGTTGAATTGCTCACTGACATTAGGTACATTTCACAAACTCAACAACCAGGGGTCTAGTCAATACTGTTTAACTTAGATATAGAATCTTCCCTGGCAAAAAAAAAAAAAAAAAAAAAAAAAAAACAGTCAAAATTTACTTAGATGGTCCTTAAAAAGAAAAAAGAATAAATTTTTAAAGTCTTCTACTGGATAGATCTATTCAACAAACCATTTTTGGAGGGTGGCTGGGGTGCAGAAAGAAAAATATTGAATTACATTATAAAACTTTAAATGTCGCCGGGTGGTGGTGGCGGTGGCGGCGGCGCACGCCTTTAATCCCAGCACTCGGGAGGCAGAGCCAGGCAGATCTCTGTGAGTTCGAGGCCAGCCTGGG